ATGTTCTTCTTCCTCATACAGGGCCTGACCCGACTTCCTGACCCAACTAAGAGACATCAGGCCCCAACAAGTGGGCCAGCCCAGGAACCCTCTGTGTCTGGGGACTTAGGATTCTCCCCTCCACCAAATGCCACCTTTTTGCTGGCCTTGGCAAAGTCCTCTTCACCCTCAGGTAGCTCCATGGAGACCAGTAGGAGCCCCAGCAGCACCAGATGTAACAAGCAGATCAAAATAATTCCACAAAGGGGGCGCCTGTGTGGCTCCGTTGGTTAAGTGCCCAACTTCGGCTCAGGTCATGATCTCACGGTTCGTGGGTTTGAGCCCCGCATCGGGCTCTGTGCCGACAGCTCAGAGCCTGGAGCCTGCTTAGGATTCTGTCTGCCCCTCCCTCCCTCGCATTCTGTCTGTCTCTTTCAAATATAAATAAACATTAAAAAAATAAAGTGATCAAAATAATTCCACAAAGGCTCTGAAAATTAAATTGTTATTGGACATGTTCATCCTGCAATCATATCTCAACTTCGCCTCTTGCCAGCCCACAAAAGCATGCCAAGACCTGTGTGCTGAACCTAAACAGCCTGCTAAAATCAAAGATTTATATAGGACCCAGAGTCTCCTAACAATAACAGCTAAAATACCCATTATATAATAGAAAACCATCATCCCAAGAACCAAGAAAACCACAACATGAATAAGAAAAGACAACTGACACCAGCACTGAGATGAATCAGATGCTGGAATTATATTGACAAGGATTTTTTTTAATATTTATCTATTTATTTTGAGAGAGAGAGAGAGAGAGAGAGAGAGAGAGAGAGAGAGAGAGACAGCAGGGGAGGGGCAGAGAGAAAGAATCCCAAGCAGGCTCCGAGCTGTCAGTACAGAGCCCGATGTGGGCTCAAACCCATGAACCATGAGATCATGACCTGAGCCAAAATGAAGAGTTGGACGCTTAACCAACTGAGCCACCCAGGCTGACAAGGATTTTAAAGCAGCTGTCATTGGAGTGTCTGAGTGGCCCAGTCAGTTAAGTGTTCAACTTCGGCTCAGATCATGATCTCACAGTGCATGAGTTCAAGCCCCATGTTGGGCCCTATGCTGACAGCTCAGACCCTGGAGCCTGCTTTGGATTCTGTGTCTCCCTCTCTCTCTGACCCTCCCTGCTTGTACTTTCTCTCTCTCTCTTGAAAATAAATAAACATTAAAAAATTGTTTATAAAAATAAATAAATAAATAAAGCAGCCATCATTAAAGTGTTTTAACAATCAACCACAAATTTTCTTGAAACAAGTGAAAAAACATAGAAAATCTCAGCAGAGAATGTTTTAAAAAAATGGAAATTACAGACTGAAAAATATAAGAATAGAAATAGAAAGGGCTTATCTCCTAGCTAGGTCAGTGCCCTCCAAGAATTGCAGAATTCAGTGATTTCCAAGTTTAATTTTACTGGATATATTCTAGCTACTGGGTATTTTTTAGGGAGGCTGGGAAATGTAGTCCTCATGCTGAGCCACCAGGGATAGATTGGAGTTTTGTTTATTGTTATTATTATTGTTAAAGGCAAGAATAAGTATTGAATTGTTATCTACTCATGTCTACCATTGAAACAAATGGCCCATACAGTGAGAATGAAGGTTCTAGGAGTTGGTATTGGAATATGGACTTACTATGAATAAGACTAGAGAAATGGTGTGGCCATTAAGGAAGATGAGGAACCTTTGGTTCAGTCTGGCATAATCTACGGTTACCATTTTTCGTAAGAGCTGGCATAAAGACAATTTGATGTGACCTAATGTCACTAACACCTCAACAGGCTCACCTTCTCAGGAAAGGCCACTTAATTACCTGATTAATTTGCTCATCTTAATTAACTTGCCCCTATTGTTGATAACCTTGTATTGATTGCTCTGCTGGTAGTAATTAGAAAACTGGTAGAGAAGTAAATGGAGAAGCCACAAGGAAGAAAAATAAGAGCATGCACTCCTGTCTTTCAGGAATCTACCCTCTAGACTTTGAGCTCAACACTTTTGTTTCTCCTTCTGGGTAAACATGTTAGAAATGAAGAAAGAAAGCAAGAAGAAAGAAAGAAAGGGAGAGAGAAAAAGAAAGAGAGAAAGAAATGCAAGTCATTTTCTCTGGTAATCATTTCTACTACTCCTCATTCCTTAGAGATTTGCCCCTTTTTTTTTCCCTCAAAGACTCTGCTCCCATACCCCCACATGGTCCTCCTCCCTTGATTACAGCTGATTGGGCAATGGATGAACACAAAGCAGAAATCTATTTTTTCAGATTTTTGAATTGGAGCATAAAAAACAGTATCAGTTAACTTCGGGTGCTGAAACTATAGGATTCCATAGACATGAAGGGTGGCCAGGGCAGCCATTTTGTGGCAGCCATCTTGGACCTTGTACTCCATCAGCAACAAAAGAGAGCTGTCCAGTCATGCTTACCAGACTCCTAATGGTTTTACAATTCCTGGTATCAGTCTCTTGTCCCCTAGCCATACTTCTTACTCTGGGTTTTACAGGATACTTTTGATTCTTTTACAAAAGCTTTTTGTACATAAACTCACTCATTTTGGTTGCCATTTTTTTGCAGCTTAGTGGACCCCTAATATAGCAAAGCACTCTCATCATTGGTTTCTCTCCATTTTAGCTTTGAACACCTCTAATGAAAACGTGCATGCAAGGGACCTATGAAAAATAAGTAAATGGGAGTTGCTATAAAAAATGTGTAAACTGAGAACAGATTGTTGGTTGGCAGAGACCAAAGGTGAGGAGTGGAAGAAATGGATGAAGGTGGTCAAGAGGCACAAACTTCCAGTTATAAGATAAATAAATCCTTGGCATGTAACATGCAATGTGGTGACTATATAGGTAATGATATTGTAGTGTATATTTGAACCTACTTAGGAGAGTAAATCTGAAAAGTTTGAATCATAAGAAAAATACTTGTAACTATGTGAGGTGATGGATGTTAACTAAACTTATTGTGGTGATCATTTTACAGTATACAAATATCAAATCATTATATTGTGTGCCTTAAACTAATATAACACTTAATTTTAATTATATCTCAATAAAACTGGGAAAAACTGTATAAAGTGATGAACTGTTCTAGTTTCCATCAGGCCCAGTGCTGTGCCTAACCCTTTCAGGCTTTGTCTACCATTAACATGTCACTATATTCCCACTGACTTCAGTCCTTTGGGACCCCCTAATTCCCATACCCCACCCAGATTCCCAGAACTCTGTTGCCTCCCAGAAGTAATCATAGTCAACACTTAATGCCAGTTATTTTGGCTTGGGGCCATGGCCTTGCAAAGCTGGTATTGAAGTAATGCTCTCCTGCCTAATTTGATTGAATTGAGTGTTCCAGTAAGACTGGTGATGTTTTCCTTGCTACAGGGTCCATCCTAATGAGCAAATGCTGCCTCTCTTTCATAGAAGACTGCAAATGTGGGCTTGTAAAGAAAATCTTTACAAACACTTCTTGGTGTCTCAGAGATCACCCAACATAATTACACATGGGGATATGCTGAGAAATACTAAAATAAACCTGACTTAGCATGCACATAAGCCTTTCGTTTAGTATTGTGGCATCAAAGTTTTAAAAAAATGTGTTTCCATAAATTTTGACTACTTATTAATTGAGAATATACTAGAAGTGAAAGAGCCAACAAAAATTTAAAGCAGCCTAATCAGTGAGACAGCATTATGACTATCTGGAGTCTCATATTCCCAACACCTTTGTCTAGAGTCTTAAGCACTGCCCGAGTGTGTACAAGTCACATAAACAAGAACCACTCCAAACTTTGTTGAGAAGAATGAGGGCATCTTTACAAAGAAAGACCAACGGGGAGGAAAGCCATGTGCTACTTACAGCTCTTTGGTAGCTATGCAGTGCCAAGGGTTTTTACCAGTCCTCGTACAGAAGAAATCTGGAAGCTCAATTCTAGAAGACTGAAGAGCCTCATGGTAGCCCAGAACTTTCACATAAGAAAGGAACTAACTCCTCTTTTGTGAAAACATTTTTTTGGTCTCTGTTACTAGAATTTACCCTAATCTTCATGAATGCACAAGCTTCTATGTTGACAAATACGTTGCCTACCACATTATACAAATGGCAGCATGGCATTCCAGGATAGGGAAAGACCACCACTTTCTCATCCACCCCACTATTGTAGGATGTTTAAGCTATTTCTGACATTTTTCTAGGTTAAACAAGGCATGGTGAACACGCATCCATACATATCCTCAGGTATATCCTTAGGATAAACTGCTAAACTAGTTTATGTACACTCATTGGTCTGGGCCCACCTAAACCATTGCATATGTTTAAAAAAATTTTTGAAACTTACTCCCAACATTCTTCTCCAGAGAAATAGTACAAAATCGCGCTTCTACAAAACTTGCAGGAAGTGGTTTACTGATACTCTCAACACACTGGTCGTGACTTCTTTTTGAAATCTTTTGACAATTTGATTTATGCTGGACTTTTGCAACCTACACCCTGGTATTGTGTTATCTTTCAGTTTAGTGATCAGTATGCTCTCCCCATCACCACCACCAACACTCCCAATTTCTCTGCACTAGGGTTAGTAGTCCCACTTACACTCCTCAACATTCACTTTATTGTTGCAACATTAATTGTTCATTCATCTATTAGTGAGTACCTACTTCGTACCAGTGTCGTGAGAGCTGTTGATGACAAGACTGACAAGATCCCTATGTTCACAGAGCAGATCGCTCCACCATATTCACATAGTTGACTGTCTGGGCTCAGGATTTGCCTCCATCCCAGTACATTGTGGAAACAGATATGCTTCTCTCTCACATTGGCATTCATTCATCAGCCATGGAGATCTTCACAGACATTGTCTTTTTTCATCTTGCCTATAATAATGAGATCACCATGGAAACACTATAATGGGCTACTAATGAGTAATTTGGGTGTTAGACATATCACAGTGGTCCAAATATGCTAGAGAGGAGATTCACTCTTCACATCGTGGGAGATGAAGTTTTCCTGAATGCAGCCTCTCAGTTGTAGATGGTCTTCTCTCTCTGATACCTAAATGACTTCAACCATGTGGACAGGGGTCCACTCTTCAACTCCTAACCATCTAACCAGCCTAAGAAGGTCAGAGCTCTGGAATGTTCTGGGAATCACAGAATCTCTAAGGCAGATGAGATCATAGAGGAAATGGAGTAAACCCCTCTCCTGTCTAGGAATCTCTCCAATGTCCATCTTTCACATACCCTGACTCTATAGTAGCCATTCTCCAACTCTGTAACTTTCTAGAGCAGACACATAGTGGAACATGACCCAGAAACCATGATCCTTTCCCAGATGTGGCCAGAATCAGACCCAGGTTTTGGGACTGAAAAGTAATGACCATATGTTCTGATTTGAAGTAGTGACCTGACAATGGCTTCAAGCAAACTGAGACCTCTGGATTCTTGACCAGATTCCCAGTCAGGCCACATGGGTTGGAATCTTTTGTTTTTTATAGAAATAATAATGTATGATTCAAGAGCATTCCAAGTTCAAAAGATAGTGTGTGTGTGTGTGTGTGTGTGTGTGTGTGTGTGTGTGTGACTGTGTACATTTATAAGCATGAGTATGTGTTTATGGAGGGGGAGTTTCTTTGGAAACCACCTAGCAAATATAGGTGGATGGCCCTTACCATACAGGTGCATGCAAGTCTCCTTCATTTTGCTGCTTTCCTTCAGAGCAGAAGGCAAGTTATTGAGCTCTGCATGTTTCATTGTGCATTTGTTTGCTTTTTGTCTGTCCCCTGATGGAAGATAAGCTCCACGAGAGGAGAGACGTTGTCTATCTTGCCTCATACTACCCCCACATAGCCTAGAATGGTGCCTGGCATTTAGTAGGTGCTCAAAAATTAATGTAAATATACTCATCACATTTCATTCGCATGCTACTCTGTGAAGAGACCTCCATTATTCATTCAACAGCTCTCTCTGAGTGTCTACTATGTGCCTGATATTATGTCAGCCACAGACCATAGTTAATCATCTTCCTCCTTCCTGCCAGGTGCCTTTTGGGGCCTAAATGTATCATGGGAGATGGGAATGTGCCCTTGTTAGCAGGTTTTACAGATACTTGGCATTTTATCTGTCCCTTCAAACCCATTTTGGAACAAGGGAATGGAATAAAGACATTTGATTTATTACTGATTCTGTGGATAAATTTAGTCTTCCCCCAACACACAAACACACACACATACACACACTCACACTCACATAAATGACATTCAATGGAAAGGATGTAGTTCCAATTACTCTACATCTTTGTCCCCTCTGCACCCAGGGCAGGCAGGCAGGATCCCACCTAACTCATGCCCATGACTCAATTTCACCACCTATTCCCTTCTTCACAGAGATTCAGGGTTACACTGGGTCTTGCCATCCAGGGGACAAACCTTTTTCATCCCAAACAGGGGTCTCCAAAGGGGGCTGTGCCTCCAGCTAGGACCCAGGTGAGAAAGTCAGAAGTATTCTGGAGGCTCAGTATTCTCAAGGGGAGGTGAGGAGAAAGGGTCCCCAGAGGGTGAAGTCTCCTGCAGCCAGCTCACTGGTCGTTGGCACTTAGGTTTAATAGAGTTGGCTTTGGGGCCTGGGATCAGGCTCATTGCCATCTCAACAGATGGGCACGTGGGTAGATAGCCAACAGATAATGTATGAGCAACAAATGTGTTTGTTGAGGGCAGTTTTCCCAGGCAGGAGCATGAAAACGGGCTCATCCTGAGACTCCACACCTGTGCTCCTCTTCTGCCTAAATATCTGCTGGAGGCTGAGGTCCCCAAACACTGGGAAGGGACCTGCAAAATGGCTATCAAATTCCTGCAAGAGAGAGAAAAGGATGGCTCCAGGAAGCATAGGGAGAAGGACTCCCCCAGGGGGCAAAAAAGATGCCAACACCTATTTTCAATGAAGGCAACAGGAGGGAGTGAGGTCAGACACGAAGAAGATCCCCATGGGTTTGTCTATATTAATTCCTCTTACAGCTGAGAAGTTGTGAACCTCCCATTTTGTGACACTCACGTAAGCCATGAGGAGCTTTGAGGAGAAAATGGGGAATGTGCAAAACATTGACAACTTCCCTGGAATAGTCTTCCTGGGAATGAGAAATTCTGTCTTCACGAGGTATAAATTATGAATATCATGACTAGTGTCCAGAGGTAAGAAACGCAGAGCCCATGTGCAGACCTGCTTTATCCTGTGTACCTGGGAGACCCCACTAATTGATTACAATGTATTCAGCATTTTCTCATGAGTCCAAGGCAGGGCTTCAGGTCTTTTTAAAAAACCTGTTATCTAATACATTCACTGGTGGCAAAATACTAAAGTATATACTTGAGAAATCTCCCTCCCACCCCTCACATCTAGTTCCCTTCACCAGACTGGGACCTAGCTCCCCAGACAACATGCTAGCTTTGAGAGGAGCAGGAGACAAACCTAATTTCGGTTTCAGAATCTAGTCTTTCAGTTTCATAGAAGTGGCCCAGCAACATGTTTCTAGTTCCAGTCTTGGTCACCCAAATGGTCAGCTAGGACAGAGCAGACTCAGCTCTGGCAATGATATAGGTCCTCAACACAAATTTTCGATTAGATGGGCAACTTCAGAAGGGTGCCTGGGTGGCTCAGTCAGTTAAGTGTCTGACTCTTGGTTTCAGCTCAGGTCATGGTCTCATGGTTCGTGGGTTCGAGCCCCACATCAGGCTCCACATTGATAGTGTGAAGCCTGCTTGGAATTCTCTCTCTCTCTCTCTCTCTCTCTCTCTCTCTCTCTCTCTCTGATTCTCCCCTGCTCATGTTCTCTCTCTCTCTCAAAATAAATAAATAAATTAAAAAAAAAAAAAAAAAGGTGACTCATTTTTCACCATGATCTGGGTGTTTTTTCGGAGACTTGTGGGTTCTTCTGAGTTGATATCCCCTGAGCAGGGTCAGCACCACTGGACAGGGCTTTGCCAACCAGACTTCTCATGGACTTCTTGAGGCCTGCTCTTGGGGATGAGGTTCAGATATCAACTGGAAAATCTCACTTGGCTGCGAATGTTGACAAAGCCTTGAGAAAACAAAGAGCAGATGAGAAAGCACTGGACTATGAATCAGAAGATTCTGGGTCCCTCCCCCTGTTCTGGTATCTCCTAGTTGTGTGATCTTGAGAACATCACTTCCCATTTCTGGTGTAAAAATAAGGGGGTTGCACCACAGAAGAGAAGTAGGAGGAGTGGTTACATCCATGAGCTTTAGAGCTAGACCTTCTGGATGTGAATCTTGTCTCTGGCATTCACCAGGCTTATGAGCCCATGTGAGACACATAAGCTCTCCTAACCTTTGTGTCCTAAGTAAAGTGAGGATAATAGTTCCTGCCTCACGGAGTTAGTGTAAGAAATGAATGGGTTCGCCATACATTTAAACTCGGTGGCATAATGCCTAAAACATGGTAAGCACTCAGTCAGCGTTAGCTGTTATTATTTTATGATGACTTTCAAGAGTGGCGGGAGATAGTAGAGGGAATATACTGAGGAATTAAGTACCTATTTTTATGCCAATACTAATGATGACAACTGGCTCCTGTGTCATTTAAAACTTCTCTATTTGTTATTGCTGCCACCCCCATACTCCCAAAGGCAGTAACATTAATTTTGCCACCAACATTACATGTAAATTAGATTTAGAGATGTTGTGGTAACCTGTTTCCACCAATAAAGCTTCGACCTTGACTTCAAAATCATAACAAAGAAATAAGAAGGTATCCATAGGTGGGGCACCTGAGTGTCTCAGTCAGTTGAGCATCCAGCTTTGGCTCAGGTCATGATCTCATGGCTTATGGGTTCGAGCCCCGTGTCAGAGTCTGTGCTGACAGCTCAGAAGCTGGAGCCTGCTTTGGATTCTGTGACTCCCTCTCTCCCTGCCCCTCCCCCGCTCATGCTCTGTCTCTTTCCCTCTCTCAATAAATAAATAAATAAATAAATAAATAAATAAATAAATATTAAAAATTAAAAAAAAGAGAAGATATCCATAAGTGAGCCAGGCATTTGAGTTTTTCACACTGAAGATGGGGTCATGCTTTTTGTCCTTAGTAGGCAAAATGTAGATCTGTTTGGTGTAGGAAGGCTTGATCTCTATGTTATCAAAGTAGCATCAGCCTCTATGAAGACGTTTTCTTGAGATGCATCATCAATTTCTCTGTTATGAGTTGCAGTGTATTCCCCAGGAAGATATATTTAAGTACTAACCCCTAGAACTTGTAACTATGACCTCCTATTTGGAAATAGGGTCTTTGCAGATGTAATCAAGTTAGGATTACAGAATTAGGCTCATACAGAAGCTCATACAGAATTAGGGTGGGCCCTAATCCAATGTGACTGGCATCCCTATAAGGAAAAAAAAAAAAAAAAAGACACACACCGGGAGAGTGCCATGGGATCAGAGGGGGCAGAGATTAGAGTGTGGTGTCTACAAGTCAGGGAATGCCAAGGATAGCTGGAAAACCCAGAAGGAAGAGAAAGGCATGGAACATACTTTCACCTAGATCCTCCAGAAAGAGTATGGCCCTGCCAACACTGTGTTTTCAGACTTGTAGCCTATAGAACAGCATAGAGAATAAATTTCTCTTGTTTTAAGCCATCCAAGTGTGTGGGGTTTTGTTACAGCAGCTAATATAGTCCTTAAGGAAGGTAAAAAAAAAAAAAAATCAAGGTTTAAAAAAAATCAAGGACAGAGAGACAAGGTCTTTGAGAACATATATGACTGTTTTTTAAGTTAGAGAGAGAGATGGAGGGGAGAGTGGCAGAGGGAGAAAGAGAGAGAGAGGGAGAGAGAGAGACAGAGAGAGAGACAGAGAATCTCAAGATTTCAAGCAGGCTCCACACTGATGTGGGGCTTGACCTGGATCCTGACCTGATGCTCAACCGACTGAGTCACCCAGGTGCCCGCATATACTTCTATTTGCACATATTTAGATCATTCTACCTGGGAGATCTATGCCAACAACGTCCCACTAACCTTATTCTCGTTTCAAGGTCCATCTGGCTATTTCCTCACAATGGAAGGCCCTCGTCCCAGATCTTATCAGGGAACCTCCTTTCCAGCACTCAGCTTCATCTTC